CTCAACATTACCGGAAAACTGTGCTATTGTGAACATTTTGGCCATTTAATTTTTGTAAGCTAGTGTAATTTAAACTATTTGATGACATTTTTAGAATAATCATACAATGTATAGAATGTACAGAAGGTTATTTAAAATTTTGAAGATAATCTAGTTGTTTTGTTACGTTACATGTCAATAACTTCTACCCAAGGGTAAACATATTCCCAACAGGTCACCTTAAATGAAAAAGTAGCCGCTGCGTGGAACACCTTCTTCCGGAAACCACTTCCCATTGGGACACAAACTTGCAACATAAAAAGATAGCAGATAAATGTGCAGCAATAAAAACCTGAGGCTGGGCCAGGAATTAAATATGCCACTTATCTGGCGCAAACTGCAAACACATTACCCTGAACAGCGGGTGGTGCCACGAGCAGGAGGAACGGGACGAGCACCACCAGTGCCACCAGCACCACCGACACCATCAGCCAGACAATGCTCAGGTATCACGGGCACAATCAGCAGCCCGGCGAGATTCGGGCCATGTTTGAATTGCTGTCATTAAAATGTTGACAAAGGCGCAGAAAGGTGTAAAAACCGCAGCCCGTGATTTCCAGGCACCACCCAAACCCAACCACATTGGTGGATTGGTGGTGTCCGTGGGTCCGTAATGAGTTTTGTTAATGTGGCGGCCACAAATGTAGCCCGCGTATGAATATTATTCGTATTCCTATGCGCAATATGGGCGAAATAAATATTTACATTCATATATATAAGTATATGTATATTTTTGAGGCACTCGCATTGAGGCCGCATTGCAACTGACAGGATGACGAGCCCCGGAAAAAGGTAATGTGAGCGTGTGTACCCTGTGTACCCGGAATGGTTGATGGAATTTCAGAGGGTAATTCGGCAACAGACTTCGGGGCGATGGGGCGGGGGTGCCAAGGGGGACCTTCAAGTGGCGAAACGGGGCGAGAACGAGTGGTGACCCTTGAAAGCGCCAATCAAGTGGCTGGGAACCGGGCTCTTACATGCGTAATTTGCACGCCAAGTGCTCGAGACCCGGGCCCAAGCCTCTTCCCATCCTGACCGACAACGTCTGGTAATTAAATTTCGTACGCCCGCCCGGCAAAGTGTGAAAATCATAAAAAGCATCGGCGTCGTTCATACGCCGTGTGGTCCCAAAAATGTTAAACAATTCACACGCCCGGGCTAATTAAGCGCTCGTCCTCGTCCTCGTCCTTGTCCTTGGGCTACCCTCGTCCTGGGAGCAAGTGTGTGTGATTTCCATATTTTGATAGCTTCTGATGGAGTCAGAAAGTTGGCATTAAGTAAACCGGAAATTAACTTAATAATGACTTGTTTATGCATGTGTCTGATTGTCTGACTGTCTGTCTGTCTGTCTACTTGTGTGCGCATAAAGATAGCACTTGAGCACAAACTATCCCCCATTTGGGCAGGGATTTATCCTGGAATCCTTCAAGCCATTGCGGTCATTTGGCACCCTTTAAACCCCCACACACACATGAAGGCAAAGGCATGACTTAAATTAATGACCTCATAAATTAGCCATAATTATTGTAATGAGCCCAAGTCGCATTAATGAGGCCGCCTGAGACAATTCAACTTAAAATTTATGAATTTATGGCCATGTGTTAGGGCCAATTAGTGGAGTCGCGTTCGCGTTTTGTAGTGGGCGCGCAATTCGCGCAATTAAATGCACCTGATGACAGCGGCAGGAGTAAGGACATGCCCAGATACAGCTGCATAGACACATTAATCACGGCGCTTTCAAGGAGCGGAGTGGGAGGCCTTAAGCTCTGGCCGCGATATAGATTTGTTTACCAAGGGGTTTCGACTGGATCTGAGTATGAATCTGGCTGCTTGGAGCCTCCTGCTAAGAGCCAAATAAATTACGGGGTCAGCGAAAGTAAATAGCAATAAATTAAATGTACATCAATGAAATAAACCAGCGACAAGAAAGCAGAAAAAGGACAAGAAGTTGTTTTCATTGGGCTCGGGGTGCGGGGGGCGGGGGGCTATTGGGTAAACAAACAAACAAACAACAATGAAACCAAGCAAACAAACAGACAGCCAAACAGGCAAACAAACGGCGGGCAAGCAGGAAAAGCGGAAAGGACGCCAGAAAGGGGGTTGCACCACCCCTCGGACCAAATGGCCAAATGAAATTTTAATTTTTTTCCAGTTTTTTCTTCTCTGCGTTCCCTTAATTCCTCCTTCAAGATGGGGTCCTTGGGCGGGATCCGTGGCGATTATGCACGGTAAATCATTTCGACATTTTCCCGTTCATAAGCACGTAATTTGACTTGATTTTTTAGCCGCCGCCGGCCATTTGCTTTATTGACTGCCGCCCCCCAGCTGGGAAACTGGGATAAACAGGACGAAATCGAGGACGAGGACGAGGGCGAGGACGAGGTCGAAGGACCCACGACTCCGCATATAATTGCGGTTAATTAAAGCATGATTTCTTTGCGGCCGCGTCAAGTGAGCGTTAAAACAAATGGCCCACTCCGACCCTCTTCGACGGGCGCCCCTGTGATGTCCTTCGATAAGGAATGATCTAGTACCGCCAGCGAGGATTTATTTTTATTCTTCCGCACTCTGATTTTCACCGTGCATCCTGTGTGGCTCTTCACCTGCCACTTTTGGTGTTTTGGTTCTTTGCTTCTTTGGTGGTGACTTCGGGGTCTTTCAAGTTCTTCATTTTTTTCACATACAAAAAATTGATTATTAATGATGGACCCCTCTGAGTAAATGGGGGAAAAAAAACGAGTGCAATGCCCGGGGAAAAAAAGCGCAAAGAAATTAATTATGGAAATTACTCGGCCTGTCTGCCCACCCATCACATCACCCCCACTTAATCGGCTTGCGGTTTGATTTATTTAAATTTCGGGAATAGAATTTTTATATTTTTCGCCCAGGACGGCCGGGATACTTAGCCCCTTGTTGCCCGGCACAAATAACAATTTATTTTCATTAATTTGTGCCTTAACCCCTTGACGCCGCCGCGGGTTCATTAGGAATGCAGGCTGCATGGCCGCCCGAGTAGATTGCCGTTAAGGCAGCCCAACCCTTTCTTTCCCGTTCCCAACTCTCCTCGAAAGTCCTTGTAATTATTGCAATCTGTTCGATTTTGGGACACACTCTGGCCGCGAACGCGACCATTTTGCAATTTGGAAATGCAAATTAATTGCCACATGGCCCGGCTGGGAACGTCCTGGTGCAGAAGTGTTGCGGCATTAGCAGTAGCCATTAAAGTAAATTGTAATTGGTAATTCCCCCGGCTTTGAGATGGAACAGATCGAATGGCGAGGGCTCTGCGAATTTTCACATTTCCACTGGGGTGGCTCTGGCCTTTACCTTCTTCATTTTTTGCCAATATTAAAAGTCATAATTCAATTTTATTGCGAATGTTTCAGGTGCCTTAATCATTTCTAATATCCTGCCCGGCTCTTTCGCCCTGCCTCCCAGGACGCCTATTCAGTGACTCGACTTCCGCTCCACCCATAAATACTAATTTCACAGGCAATAAAGGAGCAACATTCGCCAGGCCTCGGATCCTCGCGACTCCTCACGTAGTCCTGCCATTTCGATAGATGCCAGGACATTTGCCAGATACAAGTTGTAGATAATGGCCGGAGCAATTTTTAATGGATTACTTCGCGAACGCGACTCCAGGCAGCTGTTTCTGACTTGGAGTTGTGGAAATTCGGAAGGGTGCTGCCAGATACAAATATATTTCCTTCAATGTGCCATAACTGCCCCAAGTGCCATAGCGTAATGCCAGAACATGGTATTTATTGTATTATATTCCGTAAAAGTTAATCAGTTTGCCAGTGCAATGAACTAATGGGAGAGAGTGGAAAGATTTTTGAAGAAGGTAATACACTTATAAATAAAATTGAATGGTCAAAGTAAATATCTGCATGTTGAGTTCCACATTTGGTATAAACAAGAAAGGAAGCTAACTTCGGCACGCCAAAGTTTCTATATCCCTGCAGGTCGTTTCCGTGGGAGCATTGTATGTACAAAGCTTTCCGATTTTTAGAAAACTAAACTAATTATAAAAATTTTAAGATTATGTTCCATTACAATTTACTATCGTGTATGCTTACCGAAAACGAAATGTAACGGTCTTTTTATTATTTTGACATTAATTATCCGATCGTTCTTATGGCAGCTATATGATGAAATCTCCGATTTGATTTAAATTTTATTCGAATTCTAAAATATTAAAAGAATGATATTCGTAAGAGTATAAATGAATATGTTAAAAAACACCGAAGTAATCATTTTTAAAATTTGTATACCCTTGCAGAGGATGAAGGTTACGTTTTTCCTCGTGACTGTGTAGACGTTTTCTCTTATACGGCTAACTCTCCAGCAATCCTACGACTTCCTATAAAGTAGAGGTGCAGAAAACATTGCTTTTTCGATGTTTTAACAGGCAAACATCGATGTAACCTCGAAAAACATCGATGATTCTGCAACTCTACTATAAAGCTGCAAAAACATCGATGGTAGCCACATTGATAGTTTTAATAGTTTAGGAGTAAACATCGATACTATAAACCAATATAATAGGGTTATTCCTGCAGATTATTATCTAATGAAAATGGTGCAATTATGAAAGTTATTATATAGCAAAAATTACAATTATAAACGCAATTAGTCTACTTATTGTAGAGGATCGACCCACGGGTGGACATCGACATCGTTCAACACGTAAAATGTGAGTACCTTCGTTCTCCTTCGAAATCCAAGTGATGGGAGTTGAATGTAATACTGTCGGGATAGTCTGAGTAACATCGATTGAGGTCACCGGGGCACAATTTATCGCTTGTCTTCCAGCTCTACTTCCTACCAAAGCTACTGAAAGAAGAAGTGACTTGCACAAATTTTTAAAACATCCCAGTTTGCTGAAAATAGGTAGCTTCGTGTGGAAATTTGAGTCTTGTTTTTGGAGAAGAAGAAGGCAAGTAAAGTACTTCAAAATGTCCGACGAGGAATATATCGAGAGCCCCGTCTTCGAGAAGCTTCCAGTCAAGGAGAACGGAGCACCGGCCGCCGACAGCGGGGCACTCTCCGGTGGCGTCGATGGTGAAAAGGCGACCGCCGAGGCCGCTGACAAGGAGGAGGAGTCCGCCGCCGATGGTGAGGAGCCCAAGAAGAAGAGCATCGAAGCAGCTCCATCTGCTGTTGAGAACGCCGAGGAGGCCGCCGTCGGTGACTCAGCAGATGCTCCCGCCGTCGGGCCCGTGAAGCGGAAGTTGGACGAGGCCGCCGCTATAGCCGATGAGACCGGTGCCACGCCGGAAAAAAAAGCGAAGATGGAGGAGGAATGCACAAAGGACGAGGTGTAGAACGGCGCCTAGAAAATAGCCCGCGGAGCAGCACACTGTAATATACTTAATAATATATACTAACACAGTAAACACTCGAAAATCACACAAACACACAGCAACACGCACCGAACTGAACCATCCACCCACCCACTTTACCAACGATCGATCCTGCAAACAGGAGCGCAGTCTTGTGGCGCACCGATCTGTTCTCTGTATCTCTACTAACCAACAAACAACCGACCAGGACACCATTGTTGGTGTCGAGAAACAACAACAATCTATTGTCATTAAAAAAAACCCTACTTAAAAACTAAATTTCAAAGCATTATCACTTTGGGCGGTAGTCCACTTAGATACGAAGCGCACCAGGAAGAAGGGAAGGTGACAACTATGTTTATATAGCCGATGAATTGAAAATCTGCAGTGATACTAAGAAAACCCAGGTTTATTAGACTAGTTGCATTCTAACTGAAAGAATGCGTCGAATGACTTCTCATCCGATGCTCCTTTAAAAAAATATACTGAAAACAAGATTTTGGGGGACTTTTCAAAATGAAATTTATTTATTTACAAAACAACAGGGATCGGCAGCCATAGCTGGCTTAAAGTCAATAATTTCAGTTTATTATTCTGTTCTTAATTACTAATTGTATAATTCATTTAATTTTGGTATTCGATTCTTAAGTACTATGTGTATAATTCAAGTATATTTCAGGTGTCTATCTTGATAATATTATCTATTTTAATTATAGGAGGCTTGATATTAAGGAATTTAAGAACTTGAAGAGGGTTGGTAGGCGTGGGATTTGAAGAAGTGTAGTAAGGTTTTCATTTGGGATATAAATTCGGATGTTATCAAATGCAGCGCATACGTTATTGACAAAAAAGTGTGGTTACAGAACTTAAAGGGGTTGTTTAAAGCCTGTTTATGGATTGGAAGCAACTGGAGGAGCATTGAAAAAGATTGAAAGAGATGTTATAAAAATGACTTTTAAAGAATCTGTTTGTACCAAACCAGTTAATATTATGTGAGGTGAACAGAGGTGCGATAGTTGCGTTTTTTGCGGCTTCATCAGCAAATTCGATGCCTCTAATTCCAACATGGTTCGGTACCCACATGACTTTGATTTTAGGGTAAGCGGTATTTATTATACCCTGAATTTTCGTAGGATGTTGCTTATCGATTTTTTTAAGCGAGTGAATTTGGAAAGAGAGTCCGAGCAGGTGCAGATCTTTCTTTTAATAGTACGACCCATCACGACGACTTCCACGATAATGACGATAATTTCTGCAGTATAAACTGACGTGTAATTTGGAAGAATGCCTTTTTTTAGAACAATGTTCTCTGTGGTTATGACATAGACAGTTGCGTCTTGGTTTTTTGGTTGGCCAGTTTAGCTTTCATGTCCAGAAATTCTTTCCTAAATATTGGCTCAAATAATGTGTATATCATATTATTGAAAGTGCCAAGAAGGACACATACCAAAAATATAATATAAAATATAATTTTAAACATTTTTATAAAATATTTTTCTGATCATTCCTATGGGAGCTATTGGATATAGGTGTCCGATCCAAAAGACAAATGACGGACATGGCTAGATCGACTCGCCTAGTGATTCTGATCAATAATATATATACTTTATGGGGACGGAAACGTCTCATTCACTGCGTTGGAAACTTCTGACTGAAATCATCATACCCTCTGCAAGGGAATACAAATATTTACATATAATATGAAGTCCTTGAACTTACTACGTTTTTTATCAGTGTAACGTACTTTTAGATCAAGGTACCCTGTGTTTTATAAACATAAGTGTATAAGTTAGGGATTACTCATGCTGTAGGGTCACCAGCCATTACCTTCGGCTTGCCGAGATACACGGTAAGAAATCTCATTTCTTTCTTCCTTTTGAAGACGATTTTAAGTGGCAGGCGCTTAAATAGTTGGAGGCCACTAATTAGAAGGCGGGGGTTACGGTTACCCTCTCCACAAGGACTACCCACATCAGTTGCAGAAGCTAGTTCAAAGGGCTCTCCTCCTCCTCCACCTACTCCACCAAAGTAGCCAATGGCCAGCAAACAAGTCCAGAGATAAGATAAGCGGCTACAGGACCTCGAACTTCAGATACCCTCCGCAGGGAACTACACGTATGTATATACATGGCGCCCGATGTGAAATCCCCCGCACGAAAAGCGAATCAAAGGATATGGGTCTTGCGTATTGTTGCGGTTAGGGTTGAGTTGCTTTTCAGGGGGTGGGGTGTGTGTACGCCTGATTATACATAACGGTTCATTGCCTGCCAGGGCGAAGAGAGAGGGGGGGAGGGGGTGGCAAGGACTCCGTCTAATCACTGTCACATGCAGGCGTCGCTTACGCATTCAAAGCGAGCCGAGACAAAGGCCAGAAGCTGGCGGGGAAGGGTCTGCACCGCTGGACAATGCATCCCAGGAGCAGGAGGCAGGGGCAGGGGCGGGGGACTGGAGGCTGGGGCACTGGCCTGCTGTTAATTCGATTAATTACAACAATCAGCGGCATGTTTCATGTGGCAGCGACAGTTCGCTGCTCGGGGGCGTGGCAGGAGGCGCAGGAGCTTAACAAATTGCCCCATGCTAATGACACGTCCCTGTTCATGCCCATGCCCATGCCCATGTCCATGCCCATGCTAACCAACAATCGAAGAATAATGACAATGATAGATTTCCCAATATCTGTCATGTTTATGGGCAAAACAAAAGAAATGAGAGGCTGGAAGACAGGCGGGGAGAAAGCTAGAACAACGGAGCATAATTGGATATAACATTTATACGCAATCATCGACAGATTGCAAAACGATTAAGCCAACCCCCGGAGAAAGTTGGCTCGGAGAAAGGCGATTCCCATGGCATGGTACACCATACACTCGCTGTTCCCTGACGAAGCTGTCATTCCCCCGCCATCCCAAGAAGGGAAATCCAATCGAGCAAGGAGCCGGCCAATGCTCGACCCCAGAAAACAAATGCGGGCTGGGTCCGAGTTCATTTGGTGTGTTCGTTGAACGCTTTTCGGGCAAACAGAAACAATCAACTTAATTTGGCGCCCGCTGAAAGCCCTGTGGCAGATAAATTAAGTCATTAGTTCGAGCTGGAAGTTGGTGGTGGACTGATGGGCTGATGGGCCCCAGAAGAAAGTTCCCGGCCAAAGTGGAAAATAAATTGGCAAACGTTTGTTTTGAGATTAACCGCGATTAGAACGTGGACCGGGGCGGGAGTGGGAGTTGCTTGGGGAATCGCAGCAAATGTTGCCATTATTTGATAAGCTCAAACATAGACACAGAGACCCCGCCACCCTCCTTTTCCCCATCCTTGTGTTTGTGTAAACAAATGGCAAATGCGAGAATAATCGTAGGAGATTAAAAAGTTTCCTGCGCCCGCACAAAGCAAAAAGGGGCAGGACGAGCCGGCGGAGGAGGATTTGGAGTTCCAGCTAAACCAGGAGCTGGAGCTGGAGCTGGAGGAGTGGACCTGCTCTGACGCGAGACAAATGAGTGGCGCACGTGAAGCGTCTGGCCTTGTCTGTATATCCCTGGGCCTAACTAATTTATGGCGCCTGCATACAAATTGCCTGGCTTGCCAGCCACCCCGTCCACCCAGTCCTCCCAGTCCCATTTGCCCGGATTGGAATGGAATCCAGAGGCAAAGTCACGGCAGGACTTAGTCTTAGCCAACAACTACAACTATCCCCAACCACCGGCAGCCGGGAATCGAGAATTGAGTGAGCAGCCAGCTGGCAATTAAGATCCCAAACACAATGCCGGATAATCCCGGGATTCGGGATTGCACATATTCATCATTTTGAGATCATTAACTAGGCAGTTATGTGGGCCGTGGGAGGTATTAGTCTAGTGGGGAATCTGTGTAAGAACTTTTCCATGGTTGCAATCTAGAGTTTTAGAAGAAAAGGAAGTATTTTGCTCTCAACCATCAACAAGAAATAAAGTTTTGAATCTTTTGTCACTTCCTTATTTACACAACCCATTACTATTAAGCACACACTCAATTAAGCTTTAAGCAAAAAAAATTTAATGTGTGATTTGTAAACTAGCCCCTTGAATTACTTTATTAAAGGGTGCCCAAAAAGTTCTTCGTTAAAAGGACCCAAAACAGACCATCCCAAGTTAAATCAAATCAAGTTTATGATAAAGTTCCCCGACATTGCTTAAATTAACAAATAAGTAAGTTAACATCGGCAATCCGACGTTTTTTTCTTTTACGAATTAAAATTATATTTCCGTTTTCAAAGCCAACAAAAAAATTCTTTGTTGGACTATGTGAGTATTTTTAGCAGCAATATGGTCGCCAGACTTTTAATATAAAAAATTAAAAATACATGTCTGAAATTCCAACAAAAATTGTATATTTCGCTTTCAATATATAAACAAAAGATATATATAAATATATATATAAACAAAAGAATTATTTCGAATTTCTTATTAGTGTTCCATTAATTTTTCAAATATTTTGATTTTATTTATTTAATACAAATTATGTTCGCCGTACTAGAAGAGAATATGACGAAAAACATTAATAATGTGTATACTCTTGCAAAGGGACTTATGATTTTAGATAGAAGTTAGTAACACAGCAAACTATAAAGTACCTATATATATCCATGTCCAATGGTCATTGTCCTCCTATCATTCCTACGGTAAGCTACTCGAGTCCAGAAAACGTTTACCAGAAGTCCTTTTTCCTTTTAGGGGCCCAACAAATCACAATTTTAGTCAAATACTAATCCTAATTCAAATTTAAATTGTTAAATTTGTGGTTAGTTTTCTCAAAAATGTAACAGTAAGGCAATTCAATATTATCCTAAAGTCATAATCTTTATTTTTGACTTTGTAACCAAAACAAGTGAATAAATGGCAAAAGTATTTAGGTTAATACATTGATGGACTCTTAAGAAAGTTACCAACCTACTGGCTTTATATGAATGTTATTATATTTTAAAGGCCAATTTCTCGAAAACCGACTTTCCT